GCTGACTTTAAGATTTTTTAAAAATATATTTATTAATATTTTTAGTTTAGTTTAGATGATGTTATAGTTGGACTTGAAATAATACTGTTTTTTTTACTGACTTTTTCAGTTAATTTAAGAGTAGACGAACGCGGATTGTGTGGCAAAGATTTAAAACACATCCACTCGGAAGACAGAGAAATAACACTGCTCTGATTTTAACCAATCAAATACAAGATTGCAACACGATCAATCTATGTTCTCATGGACAAGTTGGGCTAGAAATGTAAAGGTTATCTTGTACTAATTTCCAGTCAAACAATATCATAAAACACAGAAATAATGCAAGGTTGGTGTCCAATGACGAAATGTTGCAATCTCGAGATATAGGTTTACAGTGGTCAAGACTGAACTGTAATAGACAACTATAGTCTGGAAATATTGCTCAAATATTGAATATTATAAAAATAAACTACAGAAAAGATAGCAGTTGTGATATTCATGGTTACCACATAGTGTAATTTGCCATGATTCCAAAACTGTATTTTCAACATCATACCAAATATCTCTTCGCTACATATCGAGATTACAACTTCCACACTTTGAAAGTTACACTTTAATTTCTTGCCTCTCCCAGCTAAGAAAAAATATTTATACATTACACATTTTGACCATTGCACTCTAGTAACACTGTGTAAAATTCGACAAAGAACAACATTTCGGCTACTTCAAATTCATTAACTTTCATATTTGTTTCAACTTTTCAATGTTAATTTATTTGCCAATCATTAGCTTATACGATTACTCAGTAAAGAGCGCTGACATATTCAATTCTGAGTGTCTAGGAAGGTTACTATTAAAATCCAAGTAACTGTGTCTAGGAAGGTTACTATGAAAATCCAAGTACCTGTGTCTAGGAAGGTTATTATGAAAATCCAAGTACCTTTTGTTTAGATGGGGTGCTTAGGAAGGTTACTCTGCAAATTGAAGCACTTGTGGTTTAGATGGAGTGTCTAGGAAGGGTACTATGAAAATACATGTTCCTGTGGTTTACTATGGGGGTGTTTAGGAAGGTTACTATGAAAATCCAAGTATCTGTGGTTTAGATAGGGTGTCTAGGAAGGTTACTGTGAAAATCTAAGTACCTGTGGTTTAGATGGATTGTCTAGGAATGGTATTATGAAAATCCATGTATCTGTGAATACATGGATTTTAAGTGTATTAGACCTCAGAGATATTTGTTAGATGTTTCATAGTCTTGGCACCTCCATTACCTGTTATTAAACAAATATATATATACAAAACATAATGTTGCCCAACAGTTCCCAATTAAACCGAGAGGACATATCTCTGATATATATATATATATATTAATTTCTTCTGAGATAAAAATAGCTAGCTGTGACCTGGTACACAAAACTCAAAATTTTAAAACTGATGTGCGTGGTCCGTCGCGATATCAAGAACTACTTTTTCTTTTTTGCATGGTCCCTTAATGCTTCAACTATTTAGTGTTGTTAACCAAAAACAAAATTAAAACAAAATTAGATTAATTAATTAATTAATTAAGTGATCTTACGAATCTTTTTTGTAATCCATTTCAAGAACTGGTATTAAGAAGAAATTCATTATTTGTTAAATATGTCGATTTTTGGATAGAAACTTCAACGGCTAACAGTTAATTAAGAGTTAACAAATCTTAAGAATATTAAAAATTCACATTTAATCACAAAAACAGTGTGTATCTAATTGGATCAAAATGTAAAAAGCAGTGAGCAGGATCCGTGTTCTGCATGCATTGAGTGGTATTTCTAGTCGTGGGTGAAGTACTTCATTAGTGAGACTTTAGATTTTCCTTAAGATTTGTTTGTTAGATGTTAATATCACAAACTCCAGGTCTTTTCCTTAATTCGTTGTCAGAAGATTTGTTTGTCAGATGTTAAGCAAATAAACTCCAGGTTTTTTCCTTAACTAGTTGTCAGAAGAGTTGTTTGTTAGATGTTAAGCAAATAAACTCCAGGTTTTTTCCTTAACTAGTTGTCAGAAGATTTGTTTGTTATATGTTAAGCGAATAAACTCCAGTTTTTTTACTTAACTCGTTGTCAGAAGATTTGTTTGTTAGGTGTTAAGTGAATAAACTCCAGGTTTTTTCCTTAACTCGTTGTCAGAAGATTTGTTTGTTAGGTGTTAAGTGAATAAACTCCAGGTTTTTTCCTTAACTCGTTGTCAGAAGATTTGTTTGTTAGATGTTAAGCAAATATAATCTAGGTCTTTTCTTTAACTCGATTGTCAGAAGATTTGTTTGTTACGCATTAAGCACACAAACGCTACGTACTTTGTTACTTGTTGTCAGAAGATTTGTTTGTTACACATTAAGCACAAAGTTAACCCCCATTGTCTGTGCTTTGCCCGGTATACGTTTCGAAACTTGATATAAGTCCCCAGACTTACCGTTAAATCACCAGGGGGGGGGGGCTTTTCTAAAGAAATCAATAAAAACGATTAAAGTTTGTATGTGTTTCTTTTCGTGCAAAGCCACATTGGGCTGTCTGCTGTGTCCACCGCGAAGAATTGAACCCCCGAAGTTTAGTGTTATAAGTTCGTAAACTTACAGCTGAACCACCGGGGAGCAAAACAATTAAAGAAAAAAACGTTAGGTATATATTTGTATATCTTAGTCACTTTGATAAATGTGTCACTGTAATCAGAGGGTAGATTTTTTTATGTAATAAAAAAATGGAACTGGTGTAAAAGAGTTCAGTATGATGTAGTTTCATTTTATGGATGAAAATATTTTTAAATAATTCAATTTTAAGTCACCAAGTAGGATTACTTTTAGGTTTTGTTTATTTGATTGCTGTTAAGCACTCAGTTACACAATGGACTATCTGCATTGTGCCCACCACGGGTATCGAAACCCAGTTTTTAGATTTGTAAGCCTTGAGACTTATCGCTGAGCCACTGATGTGTGGAGGGATCATTTTCTTAGACCGTCTGAGCTACAACGACTTGGAGTAAAGCCCGAAGATGGGCAAGTATGACTACTT